TATATATATATATAGTTACTACTCTAACTAAATACTTAGTTATAGCTTTTAAGCTATTATAGGATAGGTTTAGTATATACTTACTCTACTTATAGATAGAGGTAATAAGGGAGGTTTATTTAACTTAGTATATATATAGCGTATAAGGGGATTATATTATTACTTTATAGTATAGATACCTATATAGCTATAATATATATATATTAGCTAAGTTAGTTTAAAATCTATAAGTACTTCTAGGAAACTAGTATATACCTAGTATATATATATCTAATATAATTATTTCTATACTTATACTTACTTAATTAAGTCTACTATTTATACTAAATATATATATATTCTAAATATAGTATCTATTCTCTTACTTTCTAATTATAGTTTAGGTTTATCTTAATTCTCCCCTAACTTTAGCTCTAACTATATAATTTACTACTATAAATCATATTTTTTCTTTTAATACTTTAGTTCTCTTATTCTCTCCTCTAGTATATAGAGCTTAAGATCTACTTCTTAGATATCCTATTTCCTTAAATAAAGTATAAGTAGGAATAATAAGAAGGTTAAGCTATATATATACTATATAAATACTACTTCTATACCCTACCTAAGTAAGTCTTATATTAAAATTAGGCGCTTAATACTTAAACTAAAAGGTAAGTCTAAAAGGTTATATAAGTTAAAAGGAATTATAAGATTTATTACCTTTTACTATATATACTTTTCTTAGTATTTATATATTTAGTATAAGCTTTACATAAGTTAAGTAGGTCTTAAGTTATTCCTCTACTAATACCTACTATAGCTTATATTTATAAAGTAGTTCTACTATACTAAATCTATAAATACTATATACTTTATACTAATATATAGTTAGTATATACCTAAATAATACCTAGTAGATACTTACCTTAGAACTACTATTAGAAGAGATTATATTCTTCTAGTAGTAGTATTATCCTTTATATAGCTTAACTTTACTAAGTTAATATTTTTCCTAATAAAATACTACTATTAAGCTAGAATCTAGCTAAGAGATTAAACTAATATAGCTATAATCTACTTTAACTTTTTTATAATAAACTAAAACTTAATCTCTAGCTAGGTTAAATATATATTTATAATATACCTAAGATATTCTTCTTCTAAACTTAATTCTTATAAATAGTAGAGCTTTAAACTTATAAGGTAATTAGGAAACCTCTTTTACTAGTTTTTTATAATATATACTTTATAGAAAATAAGTATATACTATAAATACTACTACTAATCCTAAGATAAGTTAAGTTTATATAAATAATCCCTAAAACCTAAATAGAGTAGTAGATTAGTATATATTTAGTATTAGCTAAGTATATACTTACCTCTATTTTATTTTCTATCTATATCTATTATAACTATATATATAATATCTACTATACTTAGATAGATATAAGCTTAGTATATAAAGCTATTTAAAATAAACTCTAATAAACTAAAAACCCTTTTAAAAAGAAAGTAGTAATCTACTCTCTTATTTATATTTATTTATATATAAGTATATAATTTAAGTATTATTAACTATTAGCCTTATATAAGGTCTATATATATAAGATATACCTTTAACTTAATCTAACTATCTATATATCTTAAATATAATTATATTCCCCCTCACTATCTTAAATAATATATTAATCTTAAAATACTATACCTTCTAAAATAAAATAGTATTTATATATATAATATAGATTATATAGAAATCTCTATTTTATATAAGTTAGACTTTATAAATCTATTACTTAAGTTTAAGCTTTATTTAGTCTAAAGTAAACTCCTACTAAACTCCTATATATAGTAAGTATATATAACCTATATACTAAGTAGTAATATACTTATAAATAAGTAGCTATCTAAGTATTATAGAAGCTACGTTTAATAAATAAGAATAGTAACCTTATCCTTATTATAAAGTAATATATTAATAGCTTAAAAAGAATTAACTTTAAAGTTAGTATATAGCTACTAGATACCTAAGTAGAGTAAGAGCTTACTTAAATATATATTTAGTATATATATAGTATATTTTAAAGCTTTTCTATATATATACTATAACTAAAGTAATATTAAGTTTAGTTAAAAGGCTTAATATAATCCTATTTACTAGCTATATTAGAAGCTAAATAAGTAGGGGTAGGATATATATATAAGAACCTCTTAAAAAGAGGAATATAAATAGAAATCTAACTAGGTTTTAAGGTATATAGATATTAATCTTAACTTTATAACTATATATTTTAATCCTACTCTAGCCTTAAGGGTAAGAGAATCCTAGAATATTATTAATATATATATAGTATAAAGTGAATAAATATATATTATAAGTTCTATATAAGGTCTTAAGATTCTTAATAAATATATATTCCTAATACTCTTCCCTTCTCTTAGTAGTTTTAATTAAGCTATAAAAGTATTTAATATCTACTTAAGATTAGTTTAATAAGATAATATAAGTAAAATACTATAATTTAGAATAGCTTATCTTTAGGTAGCTAATATACTATACTTAGAATAAAGATATAGTTAATATATACTTAATATAATATATATATATATACTTACCCTATCTCTCTAAAATAGCTAAATCTACTACCCCTAGTAAGTCCTCTTTTCTCTAAAGTATAGTAACTAGCTAAGCTATATATAGGATCTTTTCTATTCTTATTACTACTTATAAGTAAAAGTAGTAAAGAAACTATAGATATACTTAGTATATATATAGTATTATATAAAAATAAATATAAACTTTTCTATATATTTAATAAGTTCTTCTATAATTAATTCTAAAATTTATTATATACCCTATATTTTTTAGAGCTAGCTTTAAGCTATAAAAAAGTCCCCTTTATCTTAGAAGTTATTATTTATAATTATATTAAAGTATATAAACTTATAATACTTTATACTACTATACTAATAAAATTAATACTAAACTTAGTTTAATATTTTATTTTATTTACTTTAAAGTTAGTATACCTTAAATATAAACTTAATATATACTAAACTTATTTTAAGATAAAGTATAACTTCTTTAGAAATTTATTTATAGTATATATTAAGTATTAAATTATTTAGGTTAAGTTTAGTATTAGCTTTTAGGCTTTAGCTTTAGTTAGGTCCTTATTATTAATTTTATAGCTAATATAATAAAAAATACCTAATTCCTAGGTTTTAGAATATACTAAGGTTATAATATAATTATATAAAGTTAATACTATAACTTTCTAGCTACTACTTATAGCTATTAAGATACTTTAAAGCTTAGTTTAGTCCTATATAGCTTTAATATAACCTTAATATATACTAAGTATAAGCTATAAGTATATTATACTTTAAATAAGTCTATATTAAAATAAAGCTTTTTTTTATATCCTATTTTAAGAATAGGAATATTATTATAGTAATAAGTCTTTAAATTAAGCTAATAACTTAATATATATTTTAAACTACTTATTAGATTAAAGTTAATTTTATAAAAAAGGTTTAAGTTTAAAGAATTAGATAAGTTAGAGATAGTATTATCTCTAATAAAGTCTATCCTTTCTTTATATATAGGAGTAACTAAAAAGTTAGTGAAATTAAATATAGTTAATAATAAATATATAGTAAAATTATAATAAAGTTAATATTAAGATATATTTAAATAATAATAAGTNTAGTAATTTAGATAATATTTAGTTTATATTCTATATATATATATTAAACCTTATAGTTTATATAAATAGAAGAGTTCTAGATATATTATCTATTTCTTATAAATATTAATATATATATTATATATATTTAAAATAAGGTTTAACTAACTTAAGTAGATAGATATAAGGTACTATATAGATATTATTCTTTTTATAGTGAAGTTAGTGGATAAATTTATATAATGCGGACTATGAGTTTTTCCGACCTTGCTACACCCCCCTGGCTACTTTTTAGACCCCCTGCCCTGCACAAAACCCTTTGGAGCGAAACCCTTTCCACACATCACCGAACTACTAGCGCATCCCTGCCGTCATTCCGCCCCTTTCCTGACCTTACCTTGTCTTGCTTGCCCTTCCCCCTTGTCGGCCCGCCAAAGATAACAACGCTTCGTGGCGTGACTTCCCGCCTACCCGCACCATCGCGACATTCGACGACGTCTTCTAGACTCCCAATACTGCCGAACTTATATGCAGGATTTTCCCCGAATATGCACGCGCTGTATCTCTCCCCTGTTGTCCATCGTACTATACCCACGTCCACCGACTCAGGAAAACAAGAATCCATAGGATGAAGAAAGCAAGATAGGGGGTGTGAGAAGACCTTCAAAGCAGAAGCAAATTTTTCTGCCTCTCTATGCGAGCCAATCTCGCCCGTCACATGTTTCTTGCGCACGCCCTCCCTCTCTCGCGATACATGCCCAGCTCAGCCTCCACCCGTCCCAGACCGGAGTCCAGCCGCGTACAAACCATCGCACGCACATCATCGCATCTTTCCCAACGTCTCCAGCCTGATCTTTTGTCTTAGACGTACGCCACGGCAGGTCCCGGGGTGGTGTACTTACTGCACCCGCCGCCCCAGATATCGACCTGGATGCCGGGGTCCGCTGCGCTGTACGCGCCAGAACCTGACGCCAGCCGGCGTCGCGCCGCCTCCGCCAGAGACTCGGATTTGCTACAGACAACGTCCAAACGTATGGCAGTCTCAGTCACACACCTCGCAAGGAAACACAGCACACCCACACACACCGTCTGAACCAGTCAACCACACAAACAAACACCAAAACAAAACAAAAAGGTATCCAATGTAGCAAGCTCACATAGCACGTCACAAAAAACTGCGCTCCGCCGGCCTGCGACGCCGCGTGCAGCGCAATGGCCTCGGCCCGGCGCAGATAGTCCCCGGCCTCGAGCGCCGGTGGGATCGTCACGTCGAACCGCCCGCAGTTCTCGCTGAGTATGTCGGTGCCCCACGTCGCGTCCGCGGCCGCGCTGTTGTGCCCGTACGCGCCGATCTTGAAGAAATCCGTCGGTCCGTCTGCCACCTTGCTGAGGTATAACATCACGGGGCCGAAGTGATTTCCCCCGATGGCGGGCTTCTCGCAGCCGCGCTCGTCAGCCTCTCGACCGAGACCTTGCTGCCGGCTGTATCGGGTTCGCTAGCGGGCGGGAAACATGCGTTGCAGACGGTGCATTGTAACCGCAGCTGCAGCCTCCTCGTTTTCTTCTAGTGTACATGCATGTCTCGTAGGTTACGAAAAGGGGGTACCGTAGTGGGAACGATTTCCATCAAGAATGGAACCGGACGGGAAGGTCTCGGTGTTGTGGGTACGCCTCACCTGGGAACCTCGCAGACGCCGGCCACGCCCGTGGCTCCGCCGACATTGCACCGTAGATCGTTTGACGCGACGTCCGTGACGGGGCTGTTGCTCGGCTGGACGTACGGTTATTCAGTGACACTTGTGGATCCCATCGCAACTCGGCCTACCGGAAGTCTGGCGCTGCTGCTATCTTGGTCTTCGTTGCCCATCCACAGCTGCTAGAAGGTCGCATGGCCGAGAGCTGTTTACGCGGAGCTTAGAAGTGCGAGTGTTGCGGTGAAGGTCTTCATTTTGACGATGTGAGGATTGGCAGGGTTCATCACCTCGAAGAGTTATGCTTGCCGGACAGTGTCCAATGGCCATCCGGGCAGTGTCTAGTGTGTAACCCGCCCGCCGAGACCACTTGCTTTTCCTGCACTGAAGCGAATACGCGTCTCTCTTTCACCGCTGCTATCGTTATCGCTACTATCTTCGTCTATCGCGTCGTCCCCCATCGTCGTCCTCCATCGTCCTCCTTTTATTATCGTCCTTTATCGTCGTTCTCTATCGTCGCCATCGTCATCGTCGTCCTCTGTCGCCGTTATCGTCATCCCGAACATGGCTCCTACGGCTCCTCTGGCTCCTGCGGCTTGACTGAACGCGGTCTACCTCCGTTGTCTCGCATGGTCATGCGAGCAATGAACCGCGCAGAATCTCCGTTGGGGTCGCTGCTGTTGCCACTTTCGTTCGAACGCGCCAATCCTTTTTCTTTGACAATCCATCGAAGAGCATCACGGAGGACCGACTCGACCTGGTCGTAGAGAGAGTTGAAGAACTTCTTCGGGAGCCAGCGAGGGATAGAAACGGCGCTCTAGTCGCTGTGTGTTCCCGGGTAAAGAAACTTGGGGCCTGATTCGCGCTCCAAAATTTCGAGCATGATGTGGCACACCGCACAACATGTCTTGTCGACTGCCATGGGGATGGGTTTCTTTCGGAAATGGTCAGTGATCTCTCGGCGAGGCAAAAGCCGAGACTTGTCGGCAGTCTCATGGTCAACGTCGTGATTGACCACCTCGTTACGAACCCGTGCAAGCACATGGGCACAAATTCCGATGCCTTCGGCATGATAGGTCAAGTCTTCTGAATTGGCCCTCTTGTGCCCTTCGAAGAACTCAGCCAGTGCACAACGACGGCGACGACGACGACGGAAACCCTGGACGATCGCGGCAGAAAAAGACTTAGGCGTATCGATAGGCGAGGCCGACAAGGTTGACCCTCTGGACGAAAGCCACTCGGGAATTGCAGCCGCGGGACTGTCGAGACTGAATCAAGGCGATTACCTTAGCTAACGCAGTTAGGGCGAAAGGGTTGGGTCAAACCGAACGAAATGTAGGTCCAGTAGGTGAATCTTACAATGCGCACGGAATTTGATCGTCATGAATGTGATCACAGCGAAATATGGACGAAGAGGAAGAAGGTTCTCTGTAGGTGAAGGGCGGCATCACCTATTATACGTACGTATTCCCACTTGAACATCTCACTTTTCAGAGTTTGTCGTTGAGAATCCCCAGGCACGCAGTAAAAGATCTCGGGTTCTGGAAGTTTGCTCTTCAATCTATTCAGAAGCTCTCTATTCATGAAGGCAGTCGGGAGGTTTGTTCACAAATGAGTCATAACAATAAAGATTCACTGCGGGGTGTCTTTTTCCGCCCCTTTGATCGCAGTTCAGCATATTCTTTACCTTGAGCAGCCACAAAAAAGACACGTACCTTCAATAGAAACAGACCAGCACTCAGGAACAATAGAAATAAATAAGCAGAAGGAAACAGCCTTTCTAACTGTTGATTGGCTTTGTTGTACCAAGAAGACTACTTCACCACCTGTTACTTAGGCCTCTAATTGAGGGCATAATGTCTTAGGAAATAACCTGGAGCCGTCTTTTGGGCATGCATGTTTTCTATCTCTGAGTCTTATGTTTTCTTATTTAAGTGTTGAAGATGATCAAAATTAAGCTAAAATAGCAAGAAATTCTAATATCTCTGCTTCCAGTAAATTCCCCACTATCGGATTGTTAGTTTCTCAGTCTTGGTATCGGGGACGCCAGCATTCTGGGGTGGGTTGCTGCAGTGATGCAAAGTGCGGTACACCACACTCTCTTCCGCTTGGCGCAAATTTTGTAGGAATTGCCACAGTCCTTTCGAAGAAGTTCCTGTTATAGCACGCCCCTCAGCCTTTGATACCCATTGCTCGATCCCAGTCCAACGGGCCGACGAGGGGTCGGCGTCAACGGGGGTGGGGGAGCGAATTGTGGCACAACCACTCATCAACCGCTATTCAAAAATTATCTATGATTTGATTCGGAGCTGGACGTCAGAAATCAGGCGATGCACTCATGTGTATTTTTCTCCAGCAGAAACAGAGGAGGTCAGCGATATTTCTTTGTTTGTCTTGGCCTCTAAGTGGCTGCGACTGTGATGAGAGAGATCCATAGCGCCGTGGTGAATCACAAGGCGCGATACGGTGCCCTGGTCACGGCCGGCAAGACCCATATATTCATACCGGCGTCTCTTTCCAGAAACCCCCGAATATCAGTGGTGCATCGGAAGGGGAAGAGGGGATAGACAAGCGATGTTCCATATAGCTGAGATGGATATCTAGAATACCCTTGAAAGATATCGGTTTTAGGATAACGGTTTGAGTGAGAGGTTATTCTTCGACAGCTTAGATGCTGAATGACTGTCCGATATAGCGCTGTATACTAATCAAATAAGTCAAATCTAAGGCTTTAACTTAACTATTTAACTTAAAGATTATAATAAACTTAACTAATTAATAGATTTAAACTTAATTTACTAGATTTAATATGAAATTACCTAATTAGGAAGTTAGTAATACTATTATAAGGTCTCTAGAGGTTAGATATATATACTATATAGTAATTTAAGGTTATATTAACTCTATTAACCCCTCTTTATATATATATAGCTACTAATAGTAACTTAATTACCTTAAGCTTAGTTCTAAAGGTATTAGGTCCTCTTAAGTAGAGATAACTTTATTAATAGCCTCTATAAAGTTAGTATAAGTTTAATAAAACTAAATACCTTCTTATAATCTATTACTATTACTAAGATAGTAAAGATATTAATAGTAAGTCTACTAAAAATTAGGAAGGTCTAATAATATAAAATCTACTACTTAATAAGGTTATTAATAGGTTAAATAATTAATAGATAATAATATTAATCTAGTTTAGAGGCTTTATTATTAATAGCCCTCTAGGTCTTATTAGCTAATTATTAGCTATATTTAGAGTTTTTATAGTATAGTACTATTAAGATTAATATAAAAGAACCCTCTAGAGGTATTAGAGGTATTAAAGTAGAGGCTACCTCATAATATTACTATTCTTAGTACTTATAAAGACCTTACTTAGTATTAGTAACTTAAGAGCTTATTTCTAGTATATCTTAATACTACTTAAGTTATTATAAGCCTCACCTAAGGTATAAAATTATAGTAATAGTATAGATAAGTAATTCTCTAAGCTTAGTATAATACTTATTAAGTACTTTCTAATTATTAATAATAAAGATATATAAGTAGATATTAGAGTTAAAGTTAACTTTATTTTAAAAGCTTTAGGACTTATACTTAGAATAAGTATAGGTAGGGATATTATTAATTAATAAGGTCTATAAGGATACTACTAATTAATATAAAGATTACTATAATAACTTTATATACTAAATTAATTATAATAATTAACTCTATAAAGCTATTTAATTAATTTCTTTATTAGTAGGAATATTATATAACTTCTACTAGTCCTCTAACTTATCTAAGAGGTACTTTATACTTATAAGAACTTCTTAAAATTAGTTATACCTATTACTCTTACCCTAGCCTTTATATTACTTAGTCTATTTATAAAGAAGTTTAAGAATATTATTAAGCTTAATAAGGATATACTAATCCTTATTAGAGAGGTAATCCTTATTAGGGAAATAGTTTACTAGGTTATAAAGAAGTTTATTATTATATAGGAAGGTATTAATTTAGCTATATTTAAGTAAAGCCCTTTAGATTATTATATATATTAAGTTCTATTTTATAGTATTATTTAGTATTAAGTTAAGTTCTTAAGATAACTCTTTAAAGATTATAAATATATTAGATTAATTATTAGTTTTATTATTAAACTCTAAGAACTTCTCTATATATTAAGGTAATAATCTAATATACTTAATAATATTATAGAGTTTATTAATAGGTCCTTTACTCCTCTAGAGTATTATATCTACTTCTAAGTTACTAGTATTAATAAGATACTTAGATTAGTCCTTAAAAGTATTTTAATTAATACTATAGATAATAGCTTAACTAACTAAATTGAGGATATAACTATAGTATTAAATCTATTAATAGATAGTATCTTTTTTATTATATAATAGTAAGATAGATAGGTAGAGCGCTTTAATATAAGTATTATTATTTATAATATTATTATAAACTATAAGCCTAACTTAGTTAAGTATTCTAAAGTTATTAATAACTATATATAAAATAAGGGTAATATTAATACCTAAGTAGGTACTAAGTTAATAATAGAGAGCTAAGAAGTATTATATCTATTTACCTAATTTATTAATAAAGTAGCTAAAGATAGTAATAATTATATATTAATTAGGGGAAGTCTATAAGTTAAATAATAGATATACTTAACTAAGAGTATTCTATATCTCCTACTTAATTTATACTATCTTAAATATATATAAGTAATTAAATTAAAGCTTTATACTCTCTCTAGATTAATAGACTTAGTTACTAATATTATAATTAAATAGATAGAGGATATACTAAATATATTAATTACTAAATATTATAAATAGGTTATTTATATTAATAAGGTAGCCTATAATAAGGTCTTTAATTTAATAAACTTTTAACTTAGGTATAGTAACTATAGTAGAATAGTAGTACTTTAGAGGTAGGCTTATATTATTAGAGTTACCTCTAACTTTAGAACTTCCCTACTTAATATAGTATATTATCTTAAGATAGTTAATAGTAGTAGTTATAGTAAAGGTATTAAAGGGCTTATTAATACTACTAATTTTATTATAGTAGTAATAAACCTAGTATATATTACCTTTATAGAGTATTAATATAAAAATAAATAAGTATTATAAGTAGTATACTAAGTTAGTTATTAGGTAGAAGCTTATAAATAAAGAAGCCTTTATTTCTAATCTAAGAGGTATAGCTATAAAACCCCTTCTTTAAGATTAACTTAGTATTAAAGAAGGTCCTATTCTTCTATTTAACTTAAGGTAGAGCTTATAGAGAGTTTTTTATACTTAGGTTAGTACTTAATATATTACTAATAGTTAAAATAGTATATAGTTAAGTAGTAATACTATAAAGCGCTAGTAATAGAGTAATACTAATAAAATAATTAAGATATTAGCTAATATTAAGTAGAAGTATTATAAAGGTAGGTAAAGTATTAATAGAGGTATTAAAAAAGTATATAGATAGGTAGAGCTTTAAGAGATTAAGTAGTAGTAGTAGTAGTAGTAATAGTAGTAGTATTAGTAGTAATATTAAAAAAGGGTTATTTTTAAGGGCTAATATAGGGGTTAAAAATAGGCTTTTTTTAAGCCTTAGTAAGGGGATTAAAAATATATTAATTTAGTAGTATAGTAAAAAGTATATTTCTAGTACTTCTAATACTTCTTAGTAGTATTAGCTTTATTACTAAGAAGTACCTAGCTTTACTCTACTACTTATTAGTTTAAAGGTATTACTAAATTAATATTTATAACTACTTACTCTTTTTTTTTTTAGAGATATATTATAATAAGACTTAATAAACTAGTAGTAAATCTACTATATAGGTAATTATAGAGATATTAGTTTAAAACTAACTTAAGTTATTTACTTTAAGTATAAAAGTTATAAAAGTTATAATTTTAAGTAATTAGAATAAAACTAAGTACTAAAATATCTAAATAAGTTTTTTTTATTTTTTAAAAAATCTTTTAAAAATTATAATTAGTTTAGAGGCTAGACTTTCCCTTTTTCTAGTTAACCTCTAACTTATTTAAGTTAACTAAGTTAATAGTAATAGTGACTTAGCTATTTGAATCTCTGAATAGCCTTAATTTAATTAGCTATTTAATTGACTTATTTGAATAGACTTAGTTTGGGTGCAGCGCTGGTCCGACACGAGTAAACAATTTTCTGACGAGACCTTGTGTACTGAAAATCGACTTGTGGCAAGAACTTTTGTTTAAATTGAATGGACACAAGACTTTTATGCCTTACGTGAGGCTATTTTACTGCTTGCCCAACTCGTCGGCACGATCCGTCGCAGCCTTGACGGCGCCCTCCACTATCTCCTTCAAGCCAGCCCTCTCAAAGCTCACAAGAGCGGCATGCGTCGTGCCGTTGGGGCTAGTCACGTTCTTGCGCAGCTGTGCGGGCTCATCAGAAGACTCGACAAGCATCTTGCCCGCACCAAAGCAGGTCTGCTTGGCCAGGCGGGTGGCCTGCTCCTCAGAGAGACCGAGCTTCGTGGCGCCGGTGATGAGGTGCTCGACGAAGGCGAAGAAGTAGGCAGGGCCAGAACCTGATGAATTTTAGCAATGCCCTGTTGCACTTCATTGGGGATCCAACTTACCAGACAGCCCAGTGACGACATCCAGGAGCTCCTCCTTATCAACCCACTCCGTCGCCTTGCTCACACTGCCCATCAGCGCCGTGGTCAACGTCTTCTCATCCTCCGTCACATCCTGGCTGGCATAGATACCCGAGGCGCCCTCTCCGACCAGTGCGGGAGTGTTGGGCATCACACGGACGATGTGGGGCGCGCTGCCGCCGCTTTGCTTGAACCACTCGGCGATGCTCTCGACCTTGTTACCGGCCGTGATGGAGATGACGAGGGGCAGCTTTACCGCGCCCGCGCTCTTCCAGCCGGCGCCGAGCTCCTCGCACACCGTCTTGCACACCTGCGGCTTAACCGCCAGAATGACGATGTCGGCGTCCTTGGAGGCCTCGAGGTTGGAGGTGGTCGTGCGCACCCCCTGCGCGGCCATCTTCTCGCGGTTGACCTCCCACGGCTCGGACACAAAGATGTTCTGTTTGGGGATGTCCTTGGCGAGGAGGCCTCCGATGATGGCGGCGGCCATGTTGCCGCCGCCGATGAAGGTGACCTTGGCTTGCTGAAGGCTGGGAGTCATGTTTGGGGTCGGGTCTGGTGGGATGTGGAGGGTGGGTTGGTGTGAGGTGAGGTTGGAACGTGGGGTTAAATCAGTTCAAATCGAGAGAGTTGGAGACCCGATAACGGTCCCGCAGATCGGGATGCCCCTCCGACGATGAGTCAGCCTGTCAAGAGCGCCACTTCCGGTAATTCGTGGACGCGGATTGGTCAATGGGGAAATGGGGCTGGAGACTTTGAAAACTGCCCCCTCCACTTTTCTGAGTTGAACATCTCCCGAAGACTCTGCAACTGCAACTCTAAGCACTAGGTAGAGTATGCAAATGAGTATACAATGCAGTTCTGAGGCTTAACTCGTTGAATGTACATGCGATGCGATCTCAGAATTGACTAAGCCTTTGGCAGCACAGGTTACATCGAGGGGGGTTTGTTTTTACTTTTCATATCATTCACATCACGCTCTCTCAACCACTCCAGCAGTCGCAATCCTCGTGCGCTTTCCATAAAGCCACAGAGGAACTGTGAGAAGAGCAAAAATACCCATCAGCATGCCAAATACTCCAAAAGGCTCTGCGGCGCCCTTATCTTCAACCCAGTGCGACACGAAAAACGTCCACGCGAAGGCGATGATGGCGCGCATGATGGTAACAATGACGAAACAGTCTCCTGAAAGGCGACCGTAGGAGTCGATCAACTGTTGTCAAAATTGTTAGTTGTCGTTTCTGAGGACGAAAAATAGGATTTCACTCACGTAATTGAAGCCAATCGAAGGGACTTGCATGAGACCAAACGCAACCATGGCGTATCCAAAGCACAACCCCACCCAGCCGTTCTTAGAAGGATACTGAGCAACGAACCCGAAAGTGAAGAAGCCGCCAGTCGCAATGACAAGAGCGGGGAACATGGTTGGAAGTCTGTTTTCAGGCTCCGCCAGTCCGCCTTGCGTCTTGACCGTCTTCTTCAACCGGGAGTCGGACAGAAGATACGTGTACAATGCACCGAAGAGAGTACCAAGAATACCGCCGACGTTGATGAGACCGACATTCGCGCCCCAAAGGTACGGGGGCTGGGCCATGATCTGCGGTCCAATGGTCGAGATGGTAACAATTCCGCCAACCAGTCCTGCGTAGTGGAACATGACCACCCACGTGCCGGGGAGTGCGAGGGTCTTCCAAGGCGCGATGAAGTTGCGAAGGACTCGGCCGCGGTAGTGAGTGAAGCCGAGGGATCTGGCAAACGTGTACGGTTTGTATTGCGTAACTTGGCTTCGGGCGTCTTCGACGTGGCTATCCATGCCCTTCTCGTCGATGACGGGCATCATACCGGTGTCGGTCGGAGAGACGGCGCGGTCGTACAGGGTCTCGGGGATGAAGAAGAACACTCCGACGATGCATGCTGCGGAGATGGCGGTGCCGACCCAGAAGATGTAGGTCCAGCCAAGTTGGAAACCGATGTATCCTCCTGCAATGCCGCCGAGGAGAGGACCACCTGCGAGGAATACAGTGTAGATGGCCTTTGCGAAGACATGTTGTTAGTTCTGTATCAAAGAGACAATTCGTGTTCTTTGGGTGTTTCAAACATACCATTGCTCGACCGCGCTCATCAACGAAGAAAACCTCTCCGATCAAAGCCGGGGCGACGGTCTCAGAGGCACCACCACCAATAGCCTGGAAGACTCTCGCAGCGAGAATAGAGTTGTATGAAGTCCCAACGGCACACCAGATTGTACACACGGTCATAATGACGGTTGAAGCAAGCAGGACAGGTCTTCTTCCGATGATGTTGGACAACGGAACCCACCAGATATTCGACGCGCCGAGGAACAAGGTGCTAATCTACAGTAAGGAGCCCTTGTTAGTTGATCGTACGTTCTACTTCCACCTTCCACATCTTGGAACAACCTACGGCGATGAAGTAAGTCAAGTCGCTGAACGGTCGGTGGTCCGTGGGGAACTCTTTGAACCAGAGTTGAAGCGCTGGAGCGATGCTGGCGCTGGTGAAGTTTCCGGCGAACGAGTAGAGGCCGACGGTCAAGAGAAGCCCAAACTTGCGCCATGTTGGCCAGTTGAGAGGGTCGGCCGGGTCTTCTGATGGTTGGGGGAATCGGATGAGCGAGGCTGATGATCTTCGGGACCCGCCTGAGGATTCACTTTCGTCTTGAAATTATGCGAGTTAGTTACGTGCAGATTTAAAGGTATTGGATCAGCAAATGGAGTTATCAACGGAAGACAATGTTTGATGAATATTAATGACCAGCCCAGTTCGACGACGTCAACAACACAAAAATGACTCACACATCAACTTCGCCGTCCCAGGCGGCGTCGCCTCCAACACCTCATACTTGCTCAACGAAAAGGCATACTTCCAGCCAGACATGGCGTCGCTGTTTGTCGAATTCGATGTCAGTGTCGTTTGTGGTTCAATGTTTGATGATTTTTCGATATGGCAAGTTCAAACTGTTGACCCGTCATGGCCTGATCTCGAAACTCTGGCTCCGAGTCGTCCCTTTTTAATCAGATACCCTCGTCCTCCTGCAAGAACAAGTCGCTAGTCTGGAGCGAGAGACTGTCGTACTCGCACTACCCCGGGTTCCCCAGGAGATCCACATTAGTTGCATCCATGCAACCTTAATCCAGTGGCTGCCGGAGTGGGGGACGAGGGGCTTCCGGTGGTGGGGGATCCTGGCCCCGGCACATAGCGACGGGAATGCTGGGCGCTCGTAGGTGACTGTGAACTTACAAGTGGACATATCAATATTTTTCAGTGCTGGTGGAGTTTAACTAGAAGATCGATCTGATTCTTTTGCGAACTTCTAGCCATTTTTTCCTGCTGAATAGCCATAACGCCCCCCGGCTCGAGTCCATCCTCGTCACACGAAACATCCTGGCGGGTACCAGCACATGCTCCCAGACCACACCGGAGACATGGACCCTTGATACAGTGGAGAGGCCAAGAGAACTATTGATATTCGCGCATCTGCCAGCAGCGCCCATGGCCAACGGTAAGCCTGTCGGTCCAGATGACGTCGGGCTAATTATCTAGGGCCGGCCCCGCTTGCTCACCGGCCAAAGGTGGGGTTCCGATATGTTCCTGGCCTCCTTCCACATTTCTGCCAAACACAACAGAACATCGTGTAGATCAGGTTGGTTTCATGGTAGCAGTCGTTTCAGAGAGGGAAGGTTGGGACGCATACCCGCACAGCGTGGGACAGGCATGGCAGGGACCGGTTGCCGCGCGGGATACCCAAGTCATTCGCCCGCAGCGTTCATGGTTCAGTGAGGACGATCGCTATCAGTGGTTGGAGTAGCATCTAAGAGTCGTGGAAATGCGGATGTATTGATCAGTGATCAAAATGCAAACATCAAAGCATCATCACGCGGGGATTCAGCTCTGCATCAGAGTTCAAGATTACTGAGCTACCCCGGATTTGCCGGACCGACGGGATGAAATGAGGATGCGGGGAGAGTTTGCAGCTGGGAACGAGGCTAACGCTTAAGCAAGACTCGGAGTACCCGGCAGCGCAGCTGATAAGCAAGATCACGAAAACCTCAACAGCATGCCAAGATCACGGATCACGACACGTTCACGCCGACCGCAGCCATGCGTTATCACGCATCTCGGTCCCATCGCGCTGCACATCACAGCCTCAACGTCCCAGTATCACTGCTCCCCAAGCCTGCAAGTTGAATCTTAGATTCGTCGCCAATCTCCCGTCAAAGATCTTGCCATGGCAGAAACCATCACGTCTTCCCCCACCGTTCCGATAACTGGCCGTAAAGGGGCTGGGGGTCCGACTGTGCGGGCCTGCTTAGGTCCTAAGGCATCCAGGAGGATTGGCGTCTGAGGGCGTGTCCTGCTGTCACAAATGGACTAGGTGGCGGCCCCACGGGGACTTGGCCACCTTCTATTCGAAGAAGTGGCGGGGCCGGGGGAGTAGATATCCATACATATGACAGGGGCGGGCCGTCGGATTAGAACTGCCGAAGACATGGTGACGATGTCACCTGCCGGATGCAGGGAAAGAACTGGTTTGGCCGTACAAGAGCCAAGAATCTGAAAAGTGAATAAGTAGGAATGGGGTACTCTGTTCTTAGTTGCAATGCCGTGACCTGTCAGGCGCGTGCTATCATGTGGGACCTTGGTGCAAGATAGCCTCAAGATATACAGATTGTTGTGGGCTTTTACCAGAATTCGGACTGGGCTAGCAACCCGACCCATTTCGGGTACAAGTTTTTGGTTGCACGGGGAATATCACAAAGCCGAAGAGCTCGGGGTGTTTCTTCCTGAACCAGAAACGATTGTGAGCACGCAAGGCGCATCAACAACCGCTACCCGCTTTATCTTTCTCTTGCGTTTGGCTTCGATCACAACTTTACGGCCTCTGGCTCTCAATATTTCTTATTGAGCCAGTGGATACTGGACGCGAGTTGATGTGCATAATCTTGCCGACTTATAAGCCTGCCACGGCAATGACTGGTAATGATTGGCGCCTACGACGCCGACCCACCACGAAGAATATGCCTCAGTTTCATTTGTGAAAAGGCCAAGAAAGGTGCCCGATCAAACATCAAAGCAACGCATCATGCTGTAGGGATCTCTCACCAGACTTTCTCGGTGTAATTTATAGAGAAAGATACACAGTTGCCGCCTGAAGTAATGGGGTTATCGTGGCTAATCATCAATGGTCACGTCAATCGTTTTGTGCACACCTCCACGAAAGTCACACTCTTGCACAATTATCAACAAACCCTTCAGAATGCCACTCTCAAAGACAAGAACAACGCCGAAGAGACTTCTACACCTCATGTTGAAGTTCACGAGTCAATTATCTCCCACCAGAAAAAAGCTTGCATCAACCTTCAAGCACATCCTGCGAACAGTGAGCCCCTGACAACCTCTCAGCGGAATCCCACCGCTATTGTGCTACTCGGCGAAACAGAGACCGCCAGTGTCTGTGGCGACGAAAGCCCACTTTCCGGGCCAAGAATAGCGCCCCAGTGAGGTCGGAAGACATCCTCGCCCTGCGGCGTCTCCAGCCAAAGCACGCTCTTAACGTGTAGGAACGCGTCATCCCAGCGACCCAGCTCCAGAGAGGCGGCCACAACCCATGCCCTTTCCACGAACGAGTCATAAAGGGGCGTGCCGGCCGCCGAGACCATGCCTATCGCTTGAAACCAGACATCGAGAGAGCTGTATACCCGCGGTAATGCGTCAAGCCGCCTAAGCTGCTCTGTGAACCGCGTGACGATAGCGTTTAGAATTACTGCGTGTGAGTAGTAGGTTGGCCCGTGGACGTTAAACATGTACAGTATTGTTGCGTAGCGTATGCATTCGGTGAGTGGCGATGACGCAAGGTCACTTGGATCTGGCGCCGAAAGTAGGAGGCGGTGTATTACGAAACATGTGAGATCGTGAAGTCGAGTGGTTGGGAAAGGAACCCGTCTAGCCCGTTGGAAGACATTCCGTAGCCGGATGAAGACATTAAGTACTGTGCAATCAACTTCCTGATCGGCAAAGTTGAAGAGGTCGTCATCGTGAATAGTTGGTGCTTGTTGCCATTCGGGGATCGGTGGTATGCCATGTCCAACACCATCGTCGTCCTGGGTTTCGAACTGAGGATGGCCTTTAACAATCATCGATACCCTTTCACAGACATAAGCACCACGACGCTGGAAGAGACTGAAGTTGACCTACCAGCTCACCATTCGTGCGGTAAGTGGGCTAGTCTGCCTCACTGAGTTGATACCGCCTCGCATGTTGACTAGTCGCGTGACACCATCAACATGCATTTCGCTCACTTGAATGTTTCCCTTGCCGAACTGCGTGACATTAGTAAACAATGCACCTTATGAATAAGATATCGCGATAAAAGGGAGCACGAGAAGAAGCAGCTCACTTCAATTGCTGCCAAAGTGATGACAGAGTTCATTGTCCCGTCTTGCACGGCCAATGACGTGTCCTCAACCTTGCGACGGAGCAATGCGACCGAGTCAGCCATGAGAATCTCGGATGCTTGAAAGCCCTTTTGGGCCAACATCTCTTCGTCGAGACATGCTGTTTGTAATGAGACGTGAAATAGTGCAGGATCGCCCAACGCCAGCGGCCACCAGGACACGAGGAACGGATTTGAGGTTGCGTTCAGGTCGAGCGGGTAGTACTGAAACGCGATCTTGTGGAGAACTGAATTGGTAAGCCGGCCATCCAGTCCCTGACCAACCAACACTTCAATGGTTCGAGCCCCTACGTACAGCTATGAATCAAGCGTTGAACATGTTCTCTGGGGAGTCGCGTCTGCGGATATGAGTCGAAGGGATCAAGCGACCCGATCCTGTAGCTGGTCAAAGCGCCGGATCCATGGTGATGTCTCGCGGCTCCGGTAGCATCCGGCCCCGGAGCAGCCGGAGGCGGCGGCGGCGGCGGTGCGGTCAGGGGTTCGTTGGCGTAGACGCACAGGATCTTGCGCTTGACGCAGCGCGAGCAGCGCGGTGTGCGGAGATCGCAGCTGTGTTTTGATTTGGCGCACGTATCACAGGATCGGCGGAGAGTTTGGCGCATCGTTGGGAGGGGGGAAGGCAGGAGAGATTGAACAGACGGACGTCAAGGCATTCTCGAATGTCAGAGTGAGCAAAGGAGGAAGAGTGCTGGTGGAGATGGGCTGAGGAGCGAGCCAGAATACGTACGGGTCCCCATCGAGCCCTTTGCCGAATGGGGACTAGACTCCGCTGGGAGTGTCGGGTCGCTGGAACGTCTGCACGACTTTCGGAGACTAAGCCTGATGCGGTAATCTGGGCTGCTCAGGTACGATCTGGCTGGAATTGAAGGATTGAGAATCCGCAGGTCCAAGCGTCATTAAGGATCTGCTGAATGATGATTGGGGAGAGGGGATAAGACGGGGATAATTATGATGTTGACGCACTCCGATTGGCCGTCACAGAATCTATGGAGATTGAATCACCAGTGATTTTGCAATGTCAAGAAAGAAATGATCGTATCATCAAGCCCAAAATGGCAAGGAACAGAATGAAATTGAGCCGTATGATGTGCCCAATGGTTTCCGGTCTTTATCAATCCTGGCCAGGCAAGAACCACTGCTCAATGGCTTGATCGTACGAATTCGCAGACGCCATCTTCCGCTACCCAAGCCACTTGGAGGGTCATCTGATGGTAGTATAAGAGAAAGACGATTGCCGTAGTCTTTCTGTCTTCAAAGACACAAGCTCTTCAACTCGAAATTTGCACACGCACTAATTATGGCTGCTGAAGTTTTGATAAGCTCGGCGTCTCAGCCAGAGCTGAACCAAACATGGCACCCGAGTACTTCACAGTTGCAAACTTCCTTACCTGACTTTCTTGCCGGATGGTCAACCTGGCAATAC